CTCCGCCCTCATATACCCCTTCCCCCAACGAGCCTAGTTAATGCATAAGACATATCCAAGACAGGTGAGCTGTTAGCTTTGGATACAGGTAAGAAAATCTGGGATTTTTTTGCTGGCATTGTGTTGTCCTGTGTCATTTTGGAGGGCTGGAGATGGACCGGTCAAGTAGCAGGTCCTACGGATGCGAAACTCCCTTCCACTGGCATCCTCCTGCAGCAGCAGAGCACCGTGCAAGGCTCCCACGTGTGGTCAAGTGCTTGCTTTTGTGTCTCAGGTGCATTGGTGAGTGGAGCTGTTGAGATGGTCTGCAGCAGGGAGCTGGCTATGTGGCCCATCGTGGGTCGTTTGACTCTCAGAGGCAATGCATTTAATCAGTGAAACGTGCTCTGACATTACAGCAACGAGGACAAACCGCTCAGTGAATGAATGCAAACCCACAAACAGCATTTAGCAAACAGCTGTTTTTTTTTTTTTTTTAAACAAAGCTCAGTGATATTCTCCTTGTTTCCCTCCCCTTCCCTCTGGGGGCTCTTGGAATGCTAAAGTGGAAAGAGAAAAGCATCCAGATGTGAGCCTGTATGTTTTAAACAGTCTCTAATGCACAGTGCAAGGCTACGCTCTGTAAAAGCCAACTCGTAATACAACTGTCATAACACAAAGGGCAGCTAATGACTGCAGCCTCCTGCTTTTGCTTGCTGAAGTGGTTGACTCTGGCATGTGCCCTTCTCCAAGGCAGGCACTGCTCCCCGGAGGGGATGGAGGTGGGAGAAGATGAGTTCCTGCATAGATACTGGAACGAGTGTATTGTAGATACCTCAAGTGGCAACTGGGGACCACCTGTTATGTTATGGATGGCAAATCTGGGTTTGCTCTGTGCATGGTGATGTGGATGTGATTCCTGGGCACATCCATGCTTGGGAAGAGGAGGGTGTACTCTGGCACCGCCCTGCCTGATGGACCACATGGTCTTAGAGCAGGAGGAGGAGTTGGTGGCCCAAGGAGAGACCCAGACCTGCAGCAGAGTTGTTATGGTTCTAGCAGTGAGCAGATGAGAGGGCCCAGCATGATCTGAGTGGGCTCCCCGGGCTCTAGTGGCTGGAGCAACAGGAGAGTTACTATCCTTTGTGCCCCACTACGATGCCTGAAGTCAGCATCTTGCCAGAAAAGCAAACTGCTCTGCATAAAGCAGTCACATAGGATGAGGTATTGTGGCCAGAGGGACTTATATATGCACTGAGATGAAGATCAGCAGTTCCCAAGCTAAGGGCCATGCCCTGATTTGAGGTCGCAGCACTTGTGATTGGGGTCACTGGCCCTGTAGAAATTCAGCCGGGCTCATACTGGACATGGTCCTGCCCCTAGAAGAAGATGTGCAGCCCCAAAAGTAGGTTGGCAGCCCCCAAATGCTTTGGGATTCATGGGGGTGGGATGCTCTTAGGGTAGACAAAACATCCATGTTTTATTAGGGACAATAGAAATAGTGTTCTGAACGATTTTTGTCATCGGTGCATCGATAATCATGTGCAGGTGACTTCTACAGAAGGAGCATTTGGACTCCCCTCTCTCAGTAGGAGTCATCGAGGCACAAAAGAAATCAAGTTTGGATTCAGAATCCCTTTCTCAGGCACTAGTTTGGGGATGTGGCTGCCTGCAGTACTAGGGGTGGACTCGGGGACCGAGGAGTCCCCTGGGTCGTTGCATCTTTATTGCCTTGTTAGGGAGTGCTGCGATGAAGGTGAGCATGCCTGCCCAGCCTGGGGATGGGAGCAGCTGCCTTCACACCGATGCATGCTATTGATTCCCCCCAGTGCTACCTTAGGGCAGCTGTGCTGCACCCATTTTGGGCTCGAGCACATGCCAGGTGCATGCACCATGCTTCTCTGCCTCAATCTTGCGTGGTCTGGAGACAGGTTAGACAAACCCTTGCAGCCCTGCATTCCTGTGCATTGTATAAACCCTCCCGCTTTGCTTTTCACAGTGTGTTCAATGGCTTACAGTGGAATTTGCCTCTCTACAAAGGCAGCATGAGCCCTGTGAACTATTGTAGATACCTGGACTGTCCCCTTGGCATAAATGAACATGTCATCCTTTTTTTTGCTGGGCCTTCAGCTTTGACTGCAGCTTAGGATGTCAACTTGGCTGTGATATTTGATTTCTCAGGGATGCAAATGTCCCAGGGGAAGCATTCCCTTGTTTTCAAAGAGCAGTCCCTTCTGGATGGTGGGGCTGTCTCTTCAGGAGCACACCTGTGGATGCCCTGATTTCCTAAGAGTCTGGGCTTACTTGGTAGCACCGAGCTGAATTTGAGTGGTCTCTCTCAATTCTAAGCAGTGACTATTTCATAAGGAAGGCGTGCTTGGGAGTGCGGCATGGCGATATGCTACTTGTTGTTCCTAGTACAATATTATCCAGCCCACAAAGCATTGACTTGGAGCCCCTCTCGCTGGCTACTCTCAGGCTGTGAATTGATGCGTTATTCATAGGAGTCTTGCCGGTTCTTCTTTCAGGTGAGTGTGAATGAAACTTGAAGCTGCTCAGTGCTCACGCCTGCTCCTTGGTTTGTTTTCCCAGATAAACAATTGCCAGTCTCTTTGGCGTGTTGATTCCCTCCTCTCGCCCTTCTCCTCCAGTGCGTTCAACATTAAAGCAGCATATTCTGATATATAAGGGAAGGCGGATTAGCACGGACCTTATGTTGTTAAACACCAACCTCTGAGACAGGAGACTTGGGGTCTGCTGCTGCCCATTTTCCTGTCTGTAACACTGAGCACAATATCAGCCTGTTGAGTCCTTTCTATGGAGTAGTTTGGGCTCCCTCCATGGCTTCTGTGCAAGTGTTGCCAATGCTGACTCTGCTTTATGGCAGTGAGCGGTGCCTGCTCAGTGGTACTCCACGGGTTGGGGTCGAAGGGGGTGTACAGGTGGCACAAAGGGTAGTTAAGAAATTACTCACACAAAACTGAGCAAAAGGCAGAATAATGTTTCCATGGACAAGTTGCGTGGTTGTTACTCCAAGGCAGTGGTGGGTCGCTAGATTGGGGTGGCCAGCCTGCGCCATGGGTGTTACAAGTGGCATGGGGCAGATCAGGGACGGGAAAGGCAGATAGGGCAGAGAGTAGAAAGCAGGGCTGCAGCTTGTGCAGAAAATACAGGGGAGGGAGCAGAAAGCAGAGCAGCAGGTAGAGCAGGGGAAGGGGATCAGAGTGGCACTGGGGGGGGTGCAGTGCTTAATTTGTGGCATGCCCACCAAAAATGATGCCCCCCTCCCCACTAGACGAGACTGTACCAGAGAGAGCAACTTTGCGCTGGCTGGGAGCGGCCCACAGGGCTTCTTGTCTTCACTGGCATCTCATCGCTATGATTGAGCGTCACTTTAACCTGCGAGACTTTTCTTGCCCTTGATTCATGGCAGCCAGTGACACATGCTTGTTGCTTTTGGTTGTAGGATCCCCAAATATTGGCATTTAATTAAATGTCAGGGGTGGCTGATTTGGACACCAGTCTTCTGCCACCTGCTTCCAGGAGGCAGACTGCGACTGAGTAGGTAACCCTGTTGTGTCCCCACGGTGTGGACAGAAGAAGGGGACGCGACCTCCTATCCTAACCTCTGTAAGTCTGCTTGCAGAGACATTATGTTCCTTCATGAAGGTGTGTGCATATGTGTTCATCAAAACAGCCCTCTTTATACGACAACCGGCAGTCCTGCATTCACTGACAACCCGGAAATAACGAACCAGTGCCTGTAACTTTCTAATAATGGTCAAGGACTGTGAGACCCTAAGCCAATGTGTGAGACCCAGCATATCTGAGCCTAATTCAGCAACCATGCAGCTGTGTGTGTGTAGTGCTTACGAGTATCTGAAACCATGGCACGTGGCATAGCACTTACATTCAAGCACCAAGCTATTGTGCGCATCCCAGGGCTGTGGAGGATGAGACTCCAAATGACTCGGTGTGTGTTTACATACTGGGCGCATCTACATGAGATGCTTTAAGGCACATTAACCTAAACGCATGTGCCCTTAATGCGCTTTTAAAAATGGCAATTTTTGGCTAATTGTGCCTAAATTTGATACCTGCAAATGCAGGTATCAAATTGAGGTGCTGATAGTTAAAGCACATTAATGCCTGTGTAGGCACATTAAAGCACATTAACCCTCTGTGTGTGAACTGATTTGGTAGTCCCAAATTAATCTGCACACGAAGTTAACGCTCTTTAATGCCAGCACGTGTAGACACCTGCCTAGACCTGCTTAATTTGGAACATTCGCATTAAATTTAGGTGCACTTAAATGCACGTGTAGACATGCCCACTGTAGAGGAAAAATTTGGGAAGAAAAGCTTTTGTCTTTCAAGGCTGCCTTCCTTTTAAAGACTAGGAAAGGGGGACATTAAAGACGAGAACTTTAAGGCCTGGAGATATTCTTACTCAGGACACTCCTCGTTCTTTCTCCTCTACGCTACATCCCAAGGCGCTCACTAAGCAAGGAAAGATAGATTATCTGGAAGCGAGGAAGGTATCTTCCCGTGCTGACATGAAGATCGATGGAATTGCAGTCATTAGGATGTTGCTGCATGTGGAAGAGACACGAGACAGGGTCTTTGCATTGTAGTCATTGCCTTTATTGGCCCACCCAATTAGACAGATTTATGGCATTTTATTTTGCTGTAATTTTAGAATGAATCCTGGAGTCAGGTTTATAGGGGTTAGATT